CCCCAAAACCCCAAAACCCCAAAACCCCAAAACCCCAGACTTAATTATACATCGTATATTTATTGGATTAAATTTTAACAAATTAGAATGTATTCATCGAAAAAGGCACTTATTAATTTAAAATTTTGAAAATTTAACATGGAATCGCTTCAACCTTCTATGTGTTAGTATAACCCACTTCAACACCCAAATGATTATTGTGCCAATAAATCAACCATTTTGCTTGATGGTATATCTGATGGAAAGCAAAAACGAATGAAATGTGAATACTGCAGAGGAAGAAGAGTTACTGACCCAGATTACGGGAATAAAGAGAAAGATTTTGGAAAACTAGCATTCCATATGAGTGGATTTACCTCAGGAAAATTTAGGATTGATGATTTTGAGACTCTACTAAATATGGGCTATACTAGAAGTGGGAATTACTTTCATTTCAGAGATTAAGTGAATAGCTGTTGTGAAGTTTATTAATATAGAGTGGATGCTACCAAATTTCAACTCAATCCACATCAAAAGAGAGTGATGAAAAGATTTTACAAGTACTTACTTTATGGTAAGGAAGCACTTTAGGATCGACCAAGTACAGCTGCTTAAATTAAAATTAAGAATCCTTAAGAAAATGAGTATATTATTAAGATCAGATAAGATATTGTGAAGATTATTTCTTGCTTTAAATAACTTGAGCCAATAGCAGAAAAAGTTAGAGTTTATATAAACAAAAAGATGGTATGTGTATGCTCAAATGTGATTAAACTCATAAAATTGACAATTAGTGATGAAAAAGTGCATCAGTAAATTATTTGGGAGTTTTCTAAAGCTTTTGGAAAATTAGAATACCGAGTTGAGGTAGCAGATGATTATCTAAATATGTACAAACCATTAGAAGAGATGTAAATTCTATTTCCAGATGAATTTATCGAGAGCAAAATTGATAAATAAATCATGAGTGGAACAATGACATCATTTTTCAGCAAATAAGATTACGAAGATGAGGAGGAAAAAAAGGGAATTGATGATGATGATATTGATGAAGACATATAAGAAGATTTATACGGCTAAGAAATTCCACCAAATGAAGATTTCAAAGACTATACAATGGATAAAAAGATATATAACGAGAAATCTTCAAATTACTTCACTAATTATGTGAAAAATTATTTGCCTTTTAATGAGGAGGAAGTCAAGCCCAAGCATATATACACAATTTCTCTTCATAAAGTAAAGTATAATGATGAACTAGGGAATCTTTCTAGAAGATATGAGGCTTTTGTTCATAATCGCAAAGACATAAATAAAGATTTTATTCAATCATTTATGTGCGATATTCCTACTTATAACTAAAATGATCCTGTTGAATCAAAGCTTCCATCATACCCAGAAATGGTTGGTATAGATACTCATAGAACTTTTGACTCCAAAGGTTTAGGAGTTAATCCAGGGCCAGGGACCTACCATATGTATCATAGAATTGATGGAAGGCTTGCAGCAGTTGGAGTAATAGATATTTGCCCCAATCAGGTATTCAACAGTGCATATTTCTTATGGGAACCTGATTTTAGATTTTTAAATATGGGCACAGTAGGTGCTATTGTAGAACTTGAATATATGAAAATGCTAAGAATGAAATACAAGAGACCCAATTTGAAATGGTATCACCTTGGGGAACTTGTCACAAAGTGCAAGAAAATTAATTACAAACTGAACTATCAACCAGGATATATACTTTGTCCAAGAACAAGAAAGTACATTCAATACGAGTTGGTTAAAGATAAATTAGAACAGATCGAAAAGATGTCAATACAAGATAAAAAGAACTAATTAGAGTACATAAGACTAAATCCTGACATAAAAGTGAATTAACCCATTGATCTCAACATTGATGATGATATGCTTGACTATGTTTACAATCAAAAGTTCATCTTAGATGGAAAGGAATAGTTGCTAATAAGCAAGTATATAACAAACAAAACCTCTTAGTTAAAGATTATTAATGGTCTGATTGCATTGATGAAATCTGTGGGCTTCACATCATACTCAAACTATGTACTTGAGTATAAGAGAGCTTGACTTTGTCAATTTTCTATTGAAATGATATGTGAATTACATTGTGTGAGCTTCTTAATAAAAATTATTTGATTTCTTAAATTTTTAATTAATCCTTAAAGTTATCCAATGTTAAAGCATGGGGTTTTGGGGTTTTGGGGTTTTGGGG